CTGTAATGTCAGGAAGAACTGGAATATGTAAACCACAGCTGTATAGGAAATCAAAAGATGAGTTTTACTCTTGCAACATCTGCTGGAAAACTGACATTTTGAATAACGCTGGAAATTTTCTGAGAACACTATATAGTTGCAGTATTTTAAATGCATAGTTCCTACCATGAAGATCTGTTACTAACATAAAACTATTTAAAGGTATGAACAATAGTTAAGAAGAAATATATGCAATGTTAGTGGGAGATAATGATTCCATAAATAAGTTAATAACCATTAAGTCTGGCTTAAGGGTATAGTAAAAAAAAAGTTACAATTAGAGATGCTGAGAGGGCTGCTTTATTGTTTCTTGAGCAGAGTATTCTATAGGTAGGCATCCATTAAGATCATCTTTCTAGGTGCAAACTTTCTACATAAGAGATAAACCCACATATTACATTAAGCTACAACATGCCTTGTTCAGCTTTATTATGGATTTGCTACATTTACATTCCATTTCATAAATTAAAATAATTTGTGAACTCAGCTTTACATTGTGTTTACTTGGCACCTTGAACTGCAAACTGGGCATATTTAGCCTCAAGTGTTATATGAACACAGCACATATAGTTATCATGACTTAGTATCATAAAGACTCAGAAACCTGGGCTGAATTAATGAATCCTGGTCCGGTTAGTTATGGATAAGCCTATCACAGTGACTGCAGCTTACTCACCAAACCATATCTAAGATAATGGCTGAGCGTGATTTGTCAATCCAGTTTTTATTGACTCTTTTAATTATATAAGAGATACACAGGAACATATACATTTATCCTACCCAGATCTATCCATTTAGTTTTATTTAGCACTATCATGAAACATTTATGTACAATCATTACATTGTGAATTGGGCCAGAGAAACTGCATTTCTCTTCACTCTGTATAAAGCAAGAGACAGAAGTAGCTTCCAAGCAATGCAAGGATGACAAACATATCCTGTGATGCATTTACTCATTTAGCTTGTCTTGCTATTGTCTTTCTGGTCATCTAGTTTTATAATTGCAGATTTGCACTTCAAAAGGTTAGCAAACCTGTTCTATCAGAATTACAGTGCAAAATATGTGCTATGCACCATACACTCTACTCTGTTAGGCCCCTTCCATAAGTTGGATAGATCTCAGATTGGCATTGCCCCACAATAGGGAACCCAAGAACTAATTAATTGACCCTCAGCACCTGTTCAGAGGACAAGCTGCTGAACAGGGCAGGTGGTTTTCTATTAGCAGGAATTCTATCCATTATTTTCCAGGTGCTTAAAGGGATGGGTTTGTCACTCTCCCCCACAGTGGTGTTCCCCCACATTTTCTAGCTGTGAAAAGCAAGCCTGGTAAAGAGGAATGTGGACAGGGAGGGAGTGCCTGCTGCTCTTTGAGCCTCTTTGGCTAACTGAAAGGAATACTGGTGGTCCTTGAGACAAGAATATGGCAGAATGACTCTGCTGCCAAATAGGAAAGGAATGAAAATAGTGGCTGTGTAAGTGCCTTAATTCTAGCCCTTGGAATAAATAATTAAATGCTTCAGTCAATGCATTAATCAAGAAGTTACCAAAGTTACCAGCTGTGTAGATGGTTCAGTTTAAATCAAGGAGAAGTGTGAAGATCATAGTTAGCCTCACTCCTTTTGTGAGCTACTTAAAAAGAAATAAGATAAAACAGAAAAATGACATGCTCATTCAGCAGTTATGATTAATTTATTTATTCACATTTATAGCCATCCAACTCCAATAGACTCTGGGTTTATAATGATCAATAGTAATATTTTTCCAATGATACTCCAAAGGTGAAAGGGAAAGGACTAAGTACATCAGGGAGTAAAAGAGAGTAATCTATAGATTGAATTATAACAATTTCTCATTCAATTCAAATTCACCCTCAGCCACAGAAACCAATCAACCTCCTTCACAAGGTTGCTGTAATGAGGATCAAATCACCATTAAGTCATCTTAAGCTCCTGGAGGAAAGTCAAAATATGAATCTAATAAAATCAGTCGTTCTGTCATGTACACACAAATACATTACAATTTGAAGCACAATCATGACAAGCACAAGAATTGGTCATCTTCTTTGTCATCCAGGATTCTGTTGGATGAGTCTACAAGTCAACAGCAGTGTGAACATGTTTAGATGTATGATACATTTGGAATGCCTGAATTATTTGACAATAAAGGTGAATCAAGAATCATGCAAACTCCTCCTTGCAATTAATTGCCTGTCTCTGTTGCTCCATGAAGAATCTTGATGCTATAAGGAGAGAGCAAGCAAGAGACTTTATTATTTTTTATGGCATCAATGGAACAGTCTGGCAACCCCAGTTTTAATTTGCCAGCCCTTCATTTATACACCTTTATTCTGTTTTCTCTATTAACAAACAGCCACAAAACTCAGAGAGCAATGCATCATTGTGCGAACAATTATTTCTCTTGCCATTATAAGGATTGGATTCTGCTATAATTTTCTGTTATGAAAACAATCCAAGAAATATCAGCAATGAGTGAAAAAAGCTGCAGCAGCTCTTTTAAAAGGGAAAATATGGCCTAGTGTTGCACTATCCTCCCAGTGACAGATTTGCAAAGATTTTGGTAAGAATACTGAAGATGTTTAACACTGCGTCTTTCCAGAGTGTTTTGATTTGGTTTGTCCTTCCAGACAAGCCAACTGCCCTGAAATTAACTGGTGGCCTCCTGTCCAAGTACTAAACAAGCCCAACCCTAATTCATTTCCCAGCTCAGGCCAGGCCAGGCCAGGCCAGGCAGCTGCTACTACCATCTGGCTACAGAGGGAACAAATTTTTTTTGCAGGATTTTAATTTAAGTCATTCCGTACCACTGATTTTGTTTGCTAGAATTCATGAATTGGAGGAGCATTGATGCAACACACCCAGGTATCTGTAGTGTTAATTATTGTTAAGAGACTTAATCATAGATGTTGTGCCAGGTGACCTGGCAGAATATTACCAGCAGCCTTGGTAGTGCTGATGGCCAGGCATTTTTGTTAAAGAAGAAAAGATGCAGGGTATCTTAATTGGGATCACAGCCATTTCAGGTGACGTTGGAGAGGCTAAATCTTTTCTCAGTTGCCTCCCCTATCCACAGTTCTTATAGGAGATTTGCTCATATACCTGTTTCTGATGCACCTGGGTGATCCAGAAAGTGAAGTGAAGTAACATTTAATATGCATACTCCCCTTTTCACTTGACACAAGAAGCCATGATTTGGGCAGAATCCACAAGGCAGACCCTGGGTTTAGATTATAATTAAAATTCTTCACTTGCCTCACAACAGAACCATTTCTCAGTTTGGTTGGTCATAACAGTATTCTTGAGGATCAGGAATAACCGAAAGACCATATATTGCACATCATTGGTGTAAATACTTGATCAAAAACTGATGCATGAGGCAACACAAAGGCAAGCTGCATAAAATTCACTGAGCTACACTTTCCTTCAGAATGCATACATTTCATCCTTATATATAAACTGAATTCTTTTTCTGTTCTGCAGGTGGAGATCAAGGGGGCTTCTTGATGACTTGTTTATCTTTAAACAAAGCAACATCTGGGAGTAACATATTTCTATTTGTTTTCCTTGCACAGTGATTCCCCCCCCCCTTTTGCCTTAACTGCCATTACATGCTATTTGACATCTAGCACTTAAAGCTGTTCTTACTAAGACCTACTTATTTTTGTGGTTTCAGTCTACACGTGTTGGGGTAACAAAAACAATTTGGACTGTAATTTTGAAGCACGTTATCTATGGCTTAACCACTGAAGGATGCATGAGTAGTCTATTGGGTAGCAGAAAAGCAAACCACAATACCTATAGGCTATATGCAAAGGAAGCCTTTTCCTTTATTAATGAGAATGTCCCCATATAAATAATAATTTTCTTCTGTCTTTTAAGAAAATGCAAATGAGCAGCAACTTTTGTGGCACTAGTTGCACACAGCTTCTGGAATGCAAGTACTTTTATTTCCTAGCTACTGTTCTTGAAAACAAATTACGTATTATAAAAATTATAAAACGTTACTGAATGTATGTTCACCTGGAAACGAAAAACAGTTACACTATACATCTAAAGCGATTGATGTTCATTTTCTTGAAACAATATATCATCAGATTAAAATATATTGCATCTAAGAATCAGGTTAGCTAGAATTTTTTTTTGTCACTGCTGAATTTATTGCAAAAAAGTGGACAAATACAGTGGAGCAAAAAAGTATTTAGTCAGCCACCAATTGTGCAAGTTCTCCCACTTAAAAAGATGAGAGAGGCCTGTAATTGTCATCATAGGTAGACCTCAACTATGAGAGACAAAATGAGAAAACAAATCCAGACTTTTTTGCCCCACTTTATATCTTCTAGTGAAGAAAAATATCTAACAGAGAATAAATAGGATCAAAATATAGCCCTCTGTTCAAACACTTTTTTTTTCTACTTGGACATCTCCCTAAAGTTGGAAATCCATGTACCTAACACCTACATGCAAAACAAAAATAAAACTCTGCAAATTTAAATCACACAATTTAAGAGCTTATCCTTGAATCTAAGATAATAAGGACAATTGTGTAAATTTTTGCCTTGAATCTGCAAAAGAAGAGCACTCCCCCCCCCCAATACTCATTGAGCTAAGCTACCCCATACAGGCAAAGGGAAGTTCCAGTGGTTCCAGACTGTCTTTGCCCTAGAGATCTGCCCAAATTTGGACTGGTCATTGTTCTCAAGTCTGAAAGTGATGAATTGTGGGATCAGTGGTGTGTAGCTAGAGATTTGATTTATTAATATGGCTCAAGAGGGATTAAGAAGAATTTAAATATTTGTCTCTTTAACTTTTATTTCCTCTGTAAATTTAACTTGGTTTTAGACATTTTCAGCTAAAAATGTAGAGATTGGATTACATGTTATAGTTGATATGATATTGTAGTTTGTGACATGTCCTCTCCTAAAATATCCATCTTGCTTACAGGTTTTAGCAACATGGACATATTGCTGCTGTGTACATATTGCAGTATGATAGAATTCTGCTCTTATCTCTTCCTCTTGACTGTACATACCTGACAACTCAAGAAGAGAAACATCTGACCTAGGTAAAGGCTCAACTTGGTTTGGTAGGTACACTGAATAACTCAGCAGATCCAAGACAATTGGATAACTTAACATGCAATGCCTCTGTTGGAAAGGAGAGATAAGGCATTGTCTTGTACTAACTTTTATCATACATCAATTTTATTGTCCCTCTGCTGTTGTATCCACTCTGACTGATCAACCAGCTCTGAAAGCACAATAGTACCACCATGACACAAAATCCTAAAAACTAGTTTCCTATTCCATTGTTGAAAGCCATTTTTATTCCTTCTTGTGGTTCAGGTGCAGATAAAACTCATGTCCTGAGGAACTGGGTTTGGGGGTGTTTGATTTTTCATAGGACAGACTGCCTGCTATGGTTCTGTATTCCAACTTCATTTCTCCCAATTCAACATCAAAAGACAGATGAGCACAGGTCTGCTGGTTTGATCCAATATTAGGAATTATTCAGATAATACACTTTGTAAGGCTTTCTAGAATAGCGCCATGATAAAATGAAAGCTTTTTTTCTTGGAATGATCTGCAAATGGAATGGATGGTGATGTGGCTGAAATAATTCAATCAGACCATTGGTTTCCTTTTTCTCTATTAAATACACTAGAAAGCCAAAACCATGGACCCCAGGACTTCTTAGGATCCCTAAGGAAATGATTAAATTGTACAGAATATAATATTAACTACATTAATATTATATACTATATCATCTGCGTACTATATATTATATAGTACGCGGATGATACCCAATTATATATCTCCATCCCGTGTCCTTTCAGTGAAGCAGTCGACGTGATGTGCTGGTGCCTGGAAAGATGTGAGGGTCTGGATGGGGATGAACAGGCTTAGACTCAACCTTGACAAGACCGAGTGGCTCTGGGTCTTGCCTCCCATAGGCCAACTGGATGGTCCATCATTAGTCCTGGGGGGGGGGAAATTTACCTCCCTCAGTGCAGGCGCGCAACTTGGGTATCCTCCTGGACTCACAGCTAAATTTGGAACAACATCTATTGGCTGTGGCCAGGGGGACCTTTGCACAGGTTCGCCTAGTGCACCAGTTGCGGCCTTATTTGGACCAGGAGGCTTTACTCACAGTCACTCATGCCCTTGTCACCTCAAGACTGGATTACTGTAACGCGCTCTACATGGGGCTACCCTTGAAGGGCGTTCGGAGGCTGCAGTTGGTTCAGAACGCAGCCGCGAGAGCGATTGTGGGCGCGCCAAGGTACGCCCACGTGTCACCTATCCTCCGCGAGCTGCACTGGCTTCCTGTGGGTCTCCGGACGCAATTCAAGGTGTTGGTTATCACCTTTAAAGCCCTTCATGGCATAGGGCCAGGTTACTTACAGGACCGCATTCTGCCGCACAGTTCCCAGAGACCGGTGAGGTCCCATAGATTGGGCCTCCTTCAGGTCCCGTCGGCCAGACAATGTCGGCCGGCGGGCCCTCGGGGAAGGGCCTTTTCTGTGGTGGCTCCGACCTGGTGGAATCAACTTCCCCCCGAGGTTCGAACTACTCCCACCCTGCCGGCCTTTAAGAAAGCCGTTAAAACTCTCCTGTTCCGGCAGGCCTGGGGCTAATGTCCCGGGGGGGGCGGGATATGATCGGACTCGCGGTATGACTGTATTATTTTATTGTTTTATGATTGTTTTAACTCTGTACGCCGCCCTGAGTCCTTTGGGATTGGGTGGCATATAAATAAAATTAAATACAAATACATTAATAAATGAAATGAAGTCATAGTTAGTCAACTTTTGGGAATGTGTTCCTTCCCCCTGCCAGCGTATTATTTAAAGGCCAATTGTTACACTGATTCCAAAAATGTTGAGTACCTTTTTTCTACAATAAACAATAGAAATCTTTTTCCAGACCTTTTTGAATATGCCTGCAATTAAACGTGGAACTTTTTGTGGCAGATGCTGTACCACTGAACTTAAAAATAGTCTTGACTCTTATGTGAATATAGCAGTTGTATTCTCTTAATCTGGCATTAGGATATATTGCATTGTGTGAATTCAATCACGCCATGGTTCTGATCTTAATTGTCCTCCAATTGTTCCTTTTTAAAAGAAAGACATTGACCAATATTCAGCCACAAACCTTCAGCTCAACACTTTGATCTTCATCCTTGTATCAGGTGGATCCTTCACTCATGTTGACATAAGAAAAGGTATGAAGTCATTTAACCTTGAGTTATAACTATCAGTTAAAGCAATTAAATCCAAAGGGTGAGTTAATGGGCAGCATCAAACATCCTGAGAAACATCTGGTATAATAAAAGTCTGCATTTTCACTTAATGAATAATTGATTCACATTCTTTGAAGCAAGGTTAGCTTACAAGTGGAGATAGGATATTGGCATCTCTCCGAATATTGAGCATTCTTTCTCTCTTTCTTTCTGTTTTTTCCTACCTTCATAACCCTCTGAAGGGAGACAAATTTAGTTTAGGTATAAAGTCAATACCAGAAAGAAAAGCTGGCTTATTGCACTGGAATAAAATCTAAAAGTAAGTTGCTCATAATTGGTCACTTCAGTTTAGTACTGTCAACATAGAGTCTTACAAAGACTTACAATGGAATCTTTCCTGACCTGATTTAAAGGTGTCTATGGGGATTCCCAGTCATCCAGATCATGGTTGTCCCAAAGATGCTTTTTTCAAGAGGCAACTGGATTTTGTTTTTCTTTGAAGATGTTTTGCTTCTCATCCAAGAAGCTGCAGAACTGAAGAAGCATCTTGGATGAGAAAGCTTCTTGGATGAGAAGAAAAAACAAAGAAAGTCCAGTTGCCTCTTGAAAAGAGCACCTTTGGGATTTAAAGGTGATGAAAATTTGGTTAAGAATTGTATACATATAAAGTATATGCAGTAATGCTGAACTAATCTTTTTACAAAAGCAGGTGCTGCTGCTTCCATCTTTGTGTTTTAAAATAGAGTCACCTACAGGTATACTTGATAGGCAAATCAACAAGCCTGACTTTATTGAATAAGACTAGATTCTGGTTTGATCCTAACCTTTTGGGGGTGTTTTAAGGTTGAAAGAAGACAATGACTATAGATGAGCTGCATACAATGTGGATAAGAATTTGTTTCTTCTATTTAGTTGGCAGTGAATTTGTTGGCAATTCCTTTGCTCCACAATGTATAATTAAGAAAATCATAATTGTAGAATTAGAAGCATATGGCTTTAAAGGGAGGGTTTAAAAATTAACGGAAAGCCATAGCATCCTATGTGTCAGATTAATGATTATATGGAAGTGTCTTTTTCAAAGCAGAGTTTTAGTCAATAATATTCACTGGGTGGGTTTCTCAGGCGCATCTGTTTGGCTAGGAGAGAGGATGCTACACTAAGTGGGTCTTTGATCCAGTAGAGGTTTTCTCATGTTACTGTACAGATTTCAGGAAGGAATGTGGCTGGCTTTGAATTCAGCATAGGGAAAAGCATGATACGCTTTTATCTGAACAGTGCTAGGAATGGCTACAATTTTATTTTGAATTGCTGATGCACTCTGGCCACTGAATGCCAGATCACGCTCATGAGTCAAATCACAGAGCATAATTAACTGGACAGAATCTTTGGCTGCCAGCCGTTGATGTGAATGAGGAGATTCTGTAATACACTGAAAGGAAACTAGTAAATATTGACAGGAAGTGACTAAGGGATTCACTGAGACAATAAAGAAATAATTTGTCCAAGGTTTGAAAAGCTGATAGTGAAGGCTAACCTTAAACAGTTTGCTTTTTTTTTTAAAACAAACCTGTCCCATTATATCAGATGAGGCACTAACTTTGTTCATCCCTAGGATGCCCTGGGACTTGATAATCTGACAGACACATATGAGCTTTCAGGAAGATGTTTTGGCATTCCACTGTGAAATTACCAGGTGGGCAGAATGCTGATGATGCAAGAAGTCATTCAAGGAGGCAGCAGAACTGCACATGATCCTACAGGTTCTGATTTACTCTGACATAATTAGGCAGCATCCACACTAACTTGTTCTGCTCATCAAGAAAAACACAAAAGTTAGATATGTTTCTAAATTATCTTTACAGAAACCTTCATTTGCCAGAGTAGTCTGTACGATTGTGGCTAGAGCAAGAATGAGCTCTGTGCCATAACCAAGATGGGTCAGGAAGGCAGCTTCTCCTTTTACTTGACCAACTAAGATAGTTTTAAGGATGATATGGGAAAACTTTGAAGAGGTGCATATTTTATCAATGGCCAGGACAGCCTCTCTCTCCTGTATTCTAAAGTGAGTGGTGTAAATTATGCAATAAAAACAGCTACATTTATGCAAAGAACAAAGCTGGGAAAATCCCTAGTTTTGGAAAAATACAGATGGAATTAAGAAAAAAAAAGCCTGGAGGGGGGTAAGGTGTTTCCTTAAAACTAATCTAATTAGATGTTAGCTATATATTATAGGAGATCAAATAGAATGGTGTTGCATGTAATAGGACTGTTCAACACAGCAATATTTTGTTGCATGTCCCAACTATGCTTTATAAGGTTCCAACATAGAAGTGGGCAATGTGAAGCTCTCCACCCCAAAATCTTTATGACCCTTAGAGATACTTCTGTTGATTGTTCATTTCTGCCTATAAACATGGCTTAAAGTCAGAAGGATCTGCATTCAGCTGACCCTCCATCTTTTATGTATTATATAAAAGTACAACATACTAAGGCTTGTTGGGGTTTAATGTACTTTGTGAACTCAACTTCTGCCATTTGTAAACTATGGCTTATCATTTAGCATGATTTATACTGTAGTCAAATTTATTTAGTAAACCATGTTTAATGTATTGTGCAAAAACAGCTTTAGAATATTTTATGAGTGTGTGCCTCACCCATTTTAATCAAATATCATCAGTTTATATTTATTATTCATTCTAGAAGTGTTTTTTCAACGTTCATTATGGGAAATTCCAAAGTGGAAAGTACGTAAGTAAACATATAAGTCAATAGATCAAGTATCAGTAACAATGAGGCTGAAAATAGCAAAACCAAACTATTATAGGAAAGAACAGAATTTAAAATGCTGAGGCAGATCTTGACTTGTCACCCCCAAAATTTTAGTATTAGATCTACTTTAGCATTAGTGGAACACCAAAGAAAAGGTTTTTTCCTTTGATATGCTTAATTTTAGACCTGTGGCTAATGCTACTTGAAAGGGGATTCATTCTAAAGAATCTGTTTTCAGAAGGAAGGTACAGGCCAAAGAATTACTTGAAGTTTCTAATAATGAGCAACAGCACCTTGAACTGGGCTGGCAGCCAAAGTAATTCATGTAAGATCAGTGCAATGTGATTTGATCTAATAAACACAGTTAGAAATCAACTGCCCAATTTTTACACTAGTTGAAATTTCTGAATCACTTACAAGAATAGCTCCATGTGGACCCTATTACAATATTCCAACCAGCAGTTTACCAGCTCCTGAATCTCTACAGTGAAAAATCAGTTTCAGAAACCATGGTGTAAATAAATGCTAGCTAGTTCTTTTCTATCTCTGGCAACAGAAGCAGCCGCTTCAGCAAGTGTACATATCCATATACACAAATTGTGTTTTTAATTGTTAATTTAAAATATCAGGACAAAATAGGTCACTTAAACACACACAAACACAAGCTGTATTTTATTAAAGTTACAGAAATATTCACATGAATATGCATATTCATTCTCCTTCTCCAATTTGATGCCCTCCAGATAAATTATAGGGCACCAGACTGGGGAAGCTTAGTCTGCTGGGAATCATGAGAAGCTAACTAAAGTCAAGCAAGAAAGAAACCTATAGAGGTCTACTTCTGTGGTTCTCCAGGACTGTCATCGGCATTCTCTCTGGATATAACTTTTTCCTTTTTATGCTTTTAAGTTTTTTCTGTTACACATTTGACTATCCTTGCAAGAACATGCTACACTTTCCAGGTTCAGAACTCTAAAAATGAGTAAATGTAACAAACACCACAATATAAGAAGCAGAAGTCAAGAGGCAAGATGGAGAATCTCACTTGTCACTAGATCAGTATCATTTGCTACTGCAGCTACATTTTTCCCTTTATTTAATAAAACAGGTAAATTTGCAACAATAACAAAAATATATGTATAAAGAGGCTTCTCATATACACATATATTATGAAATGTTATACTACAGTTTCAATAAAGTTTCATCTACAAGCAGCCTATCAGTAAGTCACAAGTTACATCAGGTCTTCAATTCATTATTGGAGCACACATTTATCTCACTTGAAGAGTAATTTCTTAGCAGATAATCTATTTTTATTCTACACAGTGATCAATTTCTATGCAACAATGAAGTTCAAAAGAATATGGACTTTGAAAAATATTAAACCTGCATTTGCAGTATATACCTGAAGGTGAAAGTTTGACCGCATATTCTAAATCTTTATTTGATTTCATGTCTGTCACTTCCATTGTCTTTAAAGAGTCAGTATTGTGTAGCGGGTAAGATACCAGGCTAGAAACTGGGAGTCCATGGGTTCTAGCCCCGTCTTAGGCACAAGTGGGTGATCTTGGGCTAGTCACTTTCCCTCAGCCCTAGGTAATGGCAAATCATTTCCAAAATCCTATCGAGAAAACTGCAGGGACATTTCCATGCAGTCACCAAGAGTCAACACTGACTTGGAGACAAAGACACACTTCCATTGTCCTTGGTCGCTTGTACTTCTCTTGGTCTGTTTTTTGTTTGTTTATTCTTTTCCTATTTTCTTGTTATTTTTCTCAGTTGGGAAATCTACATTATAGATTCAGTATTCTTACCTACTTACAGCTTTTTTCAATCTCCTCTTTCATATGCCATGTTCCCTTTTCACTAGCTCAGAATCAAAGTAGCCATAGATTTTCCTGCCTGACATCTAAGACTTTATCCCTACCAAATTCCTTTGTACAAATGTTCCTGTTTGAGCCATACAAAAAATGCCTGTTTGGAGTCGGGATACAATATAATTGGCATTATTCTTATAGCATGTATTTAGTTTTCCCACTTGTGTCACCTTAGAACAGGGGTCTTCAAACTTGGCCTTTTTATGACTTGTGGACTTCAACTTCCAGAATTCCTCAGCCAGGCATGCTGGCTGAGGAATTCTGGGAGTTGAAGTCCACAAGTCATAAAAGGGCCAACTTTGAAGAGCCCTGCCT